CTCATCTGTATCGCAGGTCGCACAGCCTGAGCTGAAGCCGTGTGTTTGGGGGTTTTTGAAATCTGGCTAAATGCCTCGTGGTGGTTCTAACCTTGAGCTTGGTCTGTACTGCATTAGCCTAGCCCCTTCCCAAACAAGAGTTAAATCAAAACAGCCTAACCCAGCACTCTGGATGCTTTGGTTTGTTAAACCATTGAAAAGTTTAGCAGAGCTGAAGACACAGCAATGCCAGGAAGATCTCGGTCTGTTCAAAGAGGTGGTTTTCCTTCTGTGGTTGTGTCGCAGTGCTGGGGGGTGCGGGCGGGTGCCTGGGCTTTGGGGTGACGGGGCTGCGTGCAGTGGGCTGGCTGTTCCCTGAGCCTCCAGTCCAAGGGGAGTGACTGGAGAGCTGCCAGGGCAGAGGAGTATTTGAGTATTTTCTAATCATCCAACAGGCAGCCTGTAAGGAGATGCTTGGTGGCAGCTCTGCAAGGGCAGGAACACAAGCCCGGGTCTGTTCTCCCGTCCCTGGCCAAGAAGATCACCAGGGCAATGCCAGCGGCTGCAGGAGCACTGCCTGGAGGCGTCACCCTCCTCCTTCCTCTGCTCTCCTCTGCTCGTTCAGGACGAGGAGGTTTTGTTCGGAGTGGGACATCTGCCAGGCTTGGGGGCTGTGGGGAGCTGGCACTGCCACAGAGGCAGTGCTGGGGGTGTCCCTGCAAAAGGACTGCTCCCATGGCTCCATCCCCGCCAGCCCAGCCCTGCCAGGCTTCGGGGTTGTGCCTCCGGCCAGGGCTGTGGGCAGAACAGAAATTCAGCTGGTTTTGCTGATCCGTGGTGTGACAGGTCTGGCCGGGGTGGGGCTGTGAGCAGCAGTGCTTGGGAATTTCTGGTTTAGAACAAAACCCCTCTGTTGGCTTGGGGAGCTCGAGCCTTGCCAAGGAGGTTCGCTGAAAGATTTCTGTCCCTAGTTTGAGCCCTTCTTCAAAGCGTTAACATCTTTCTCTGCCATTTCCTGAGATCCTGTAGCAGACACTGGATGATGGACACATCCTGCTGCCAGAGGAATTCCCCTTTTCCTGCTCAGCAGGAACTTCACATTTTGAGGCACCAAGCTGGGAGAGGCCGATAACGCAAGGGCTGTCCTGGACCCCCAGCTTGTTTTATGGTGAGGGCTTTAGAATAACTGCTTGGAAAGCAGAGCGGTGCAGTTTGTTTTCATTTTGCCATTTCTTGGTGTACTGAAGGAACTGCCTGCTCAGGATTAGGCCGGTGCCGGCAGCGTGGGCACTGCTGGTGGCAGGGGCACAGACTAAACCTGCAGCCGTCCCGGTGTGGCCCCAGCCTGTCCTCAGCAGTGGGCGCAGGGCTGGGCGTGGGAGCCCTGCGGGGTTTGGCAGTGCCACTCTGTGGGAGATGCCAGCACAAAGTTGCTGCTCCCTTTTGTTATCTCTGTGAATGAGCAGGAGGCATCTCCAGTGAGGCACCTCAAGTGCTGCTCACACCTGAAAACCGCAGTTGCTGTACGGGCCGGGTTGGATTGTCGACGTGGCTGGGCAGCCTTTGCTGTAACTCGGCGTGGTTAATGCTTGGCAGTGTTTAAAATCTGGATTTCTATGTCTGTTGCGGGTGACTGTGTCCTTTTAATCATTTGGCCCGCCAGCAGTTGTAGTAAAGCTATCCTCCTCAAATTGTCTTCATGTTTTCCACTCTCTTTTATCTGCTTGCGATCTGGGAACAGTGCAGAGCCCTTTGCATCAGGCTCCAGTGTCCCAGGGACTGGCCTCGTCCTGCTGAGTGCCAGAGCATCCCTGGCAGAGGAGCTAATCTCTCCCCGAGCAGAGTGCCACCAGCATCTGGTGTTGGTGCCGTGCCGGCTGGCTCACGAGGCGAGGGTGCGGATGGGGTCAGCCCAGACGGCCACCGAGGCACACAGCACTCACAGCCTCCTTGCCCCGCTCGCCTCTGGACGCCAGCTCTGGATTAGTAATGGGCTATTTCTGGATCGCTCTCGTGAGTAATGGAATGAATTGTGCTGAGATTTTGGGTGGGGACAGCGCCTTTGCCCTCTGAGTCACTGCTCAGCATCATGTCAGGCTCGGGAGCTGCCGGGGCCCGGAGCCGTCCCAGGTCAGGGTGGACAACGGAGGCCGTGGGAAGGAGCTCTGGATGCGGCGACTCTGCTCGGTTTGGAGCATCTGCTGTCCCCCTTGATGGGATGGCGTGCAGGCAGGGGAGCGGCGGAGGGGAGCTGGCAGCCGTGCAGGGCTGGCTGCCGCACCGCGCTGCGCCGTTCCGGTTGTTTTTGTTTTAGGTCCGATGTCTGGCAGACTGGGCACGGGCAGATCTTGATGTCTGTCTGGGAGTGGGTGTTTGTCTCCCCGGGGCACCCGCTGTTCGTTGCGCTGCGGATGCGTGTCCTTCTGCGTTGTGTGGGTTAGATAGTGGCGCGTCCCACACCACCTTTCTTCCTCCGTTCGTCTTTGAGATCCAGAGTCAAAAGCAGCAAATCACATTTTGCTGTGGGCAAAGGAGCTTTCTGTCTAAGTAAATAGACTTTTTTGCCCATGAGCTCTCCTTTTCTGTGCTGTGGAGATGATGGCTGGAGAGAGGACGAGCCTTTGGTCAGATGAGAAGGATGGTTTGCAACAGGGGTGATGTGTTTCTTGTGTCTCCAGGAATATGCTGACCTCGAGAGCTTTCCCTCCTCAAGCATGCAAGAGACAGCAGACTCCTCCAGGCCTTTTATCTGCCTCTATAACACAAACATCGTGTCTCCTTGGGACGAGCTCCTGGCCGGCTGCCCATGCGTGGGACTGCGAGTGTCCCTGGCCCATCTGGGACAGGCAGGAGCAGGAGGGCACAAGGAAAGGGGATGGGAGCTGTGCCGGTGGATTTCCCCTCCGTGCTCAGCCCCTGGCACTGGGACCCTTCAGGCACTTTAAGTTTGTTTTTTCAACTTCAGTGTTCCACAAACGTGCTCGCTGTCTATGTAGACATGCTGCTCCACTGGGATGTGTGCTTAACGCCGAGGCTCCTTGTTGAGAAGTGCCGGATCCTGCTGGATGCAGCCTTTCGTCCTCGCTCTTCTCGCCTTATAAGTGCCGGCTTACTGTTTTTATTAATGGCTCCACAGCACTCAGCAGCCACGAACCATTCCTGCTTCAGCTTGTGAGCCAAGGTGCTTGTAAGCTGCAAAGATCCAGGGCTATTGCAGGGTCTGGCCTGGATTTGGGTGAAACCTTTCTCTCTTCTGCCCCAACCACACGGTTGGGCAGTTCGAGTGGTGAGAGCTGGGGGGGGTCCCCGAAACTTCCCCAGGGGTTCGTGTGACAGCTCTGGGGAAGTTTCCTCCAGGCAGGAGCTTAGTGGTGACTTGCTAAGTGTGCAGATGAGAGGAGCTCTCTTCAGCCTGATTTTGAAATGCAAGTCAGCTGCTGAGTCTAATTTCTTAATCCTTCACTTGCAGCTAATTATCATGCAGCCTTACTCGGGTTTTTCTCTTTTCCTCCCTTTTCCGTTGGCCCAGGATGCAGGTGTCATCACCCCGGGAGAGGACAGGCGCCAAGCCTTCGTTAAGGCTGGGTGTCAGTGCTCCGGTTAAAGGCCAAGCTTGCGATGGCCGGGCCTTCCCAGCATGATCAGCTCCCAGCCTTGCAGCTCCCTGCATTAGCATAGGTGTGTGCATCCTTCCCGCATGGTTATTTCCCCCGAACCTCCCCAATGCTCCAAGCCCGAACTGCCCCTTCCAGTCCGGCCACCCCGGGCAGAGGGGGTTTGGAGAGGGGCAGGGCTGGCTGCAGGACGTGGAGCATCCCTGCCTTCGTGAGCAGTTTTCTGGTCACCTGTAATTTCCCCCAGCCCACAGAACAGCATGCGCCTTTCCAGGGATTAAACCCTGAGCTGTCAGTGTGTGTCTTGCCCGGGACTTCTGCAGGGACAGAGAGCTGGTGATGCGCGTAAGGAGTGGGTCAGGCTCTTTGGACTGAAGCATCTGGGAAGCTGGGGATGGGAAAGAGATTTTGGGCCCGAGGTCAGGGGGGATGTGATCCCACCACGGCTGATTTTCTCATGCCTCGTTCAGATGCCACAGCAGGCGTTTTGTGGCATCGTCCTGGGTGATTCCCAAGCTCAGCTGTAATGTCCTTTTGAAACTCAAGGATGCAAAGGCATAGTTTTACTTGCAGGACTGCATCCCTTTTACTTGGGGCAGAAAGCAGCTTGCTTTACTGCAGGGTTTTGGCTCTGTTTGCTGAGTGATGGCTGGCAGTTTCTCCCTCTGCCCGTGCCAGCGTCGGCTCTCTGTCGTTATGTGGCAAAGGCTCCTTTGTCAAACGGGCTGGGACGGGGCCAGCCCGGCGCCGGGTGCCAGGCACGCAGGTCTTGCTCGCCTGGACCTCCGAGAGCTCGGCTTGGCGTGTTCCTGCTGCTGATCAGATTATTTGGGAGCCGATGATTGTGCCTGGGTGAAACCCAGAGTACAGTTTCTGCCCTGAAGAATTTATAATCTGAAATAAAACCAGCAGGTGTGTGTGACTCCTAGGATATCAGAAAAGCCATTTGCCTGGGGTGGTGGCACAGCGAGAAAGCCCAGCGTGGGAGGGGTTGGATGGCCGGGGCAGGAGCCTCGCTGCCTGTCGCAGTGGGTGAGGCAGAGCGGTTTGTCGTCTTGCACGAGGTCCCTGCGTGCAGCCGCCAGCACTCACCGCGGCTGGGGCATCGGTGTGATGGTTCTCCCGGCCGCGGCTGCAGCGATGGATGTAAATGGTTCCAGTCAGGCTGGTTCTTGCAGTGCCTGTGAGCCGGTGCCTGCGGGAGCTGGAAGTGTGCCCGGCGAGGCCGGGAGAGCCGCTGTCCTGGCAGTCCCTGGCTGCTCACGCTGGCGTGTGCCCAGGCACCCGTGTCTGGTACCTGCCCGGACAGTTGCGCGAAAGATTTTGGAGCACGGGGGGCCAGGAGGGTCTGGGAGCGTGGACTGCCCACGGCTGCTCTGTCCCGCTCACCCGCTCTTGTCCCCACAGCGATGGCGGCCATCAGGAAGAAGCTGGTGATCGTGGGAGATGGTGCCTGTGGAAAGACGTGTCTGCTGATTGTGTTCAGCAAGGACCAGTTCCCTGAGGTCTACGTGCCCACCGTGTTCGAGAACTACATTGCCGACATAGAGGTAGACGGGAAGCAGGTAAGGGCTGTCGTGGGGTGCCGGACCTGTTGCCGTCCCCTTGCTCCCACGGTCCCACACTGGCAGTGCCACCGCCCGGCTCGGATGCTCCTGCAGCGCTCAGGGGAGCCCCAAGGCTCCTGCGTTTCTGGGTCATCCTGAACTTGCCCCAGTTTGAGGAAGACCATAGCTATAATGGAGGAAGATAAATCTGCTCGCTCCTGGCCTGCCAAGCCATCTGCAAGCTGCTGAGCCGTGTCCCTCTCCCCTCCCAGGTGGAGCTGGCCCTGTGGGACACAGCGGGTCAGGAGGACTACGACAGGCTGCGGCCCCTCTCGTACCCGGACACAGACGTTATCCTCATGTGCTTTTCTATCGACAGCCCGGATAGCCTCGGTAGGGACCAGGGAGCAAGGGGGGACCTGGTGCTCCCACAGGGCTGGGTGCTGCTGCTAAACCCCCCGGGGTCCGGGAAGCCCCCGTGCTGCCCCTCTCGGGGATGCCAGTCCCTCCCCTCCATCTCGGGGCTTTGCATGCACCGAGGAAAATGCTGGGAACTTGCTGGCTTGGTGGAGGTGGTGGGAGAGGAGGATGGCACGGGGTGAGCTCTCCCCTCTTCCTATGGGAAAAGCCTGGTGCTGGTTCCTGTGGCTGCAAGGAGGCCGGGGAGGAGCAACCCCTCGGCTCAGGGGGGTCCCTGTGTGCTTTTTGCAGAGAACATCCCTGAGAAGTGGACGCCAGAGGTGAAGCACTTCTGCCCCAACGTGCCCATCATCCTGGTGGGGAACAAGAAGGACCTGCGGAACGACGAGCACACACGGCGGGAGCTGGCGAAGATGAAGCAGGTGGGGGCACCCTGGGTCCCACTGCCTCGGCCAGCGACCCAGCTACCCCTCGTGCCGCCTCGCTGGGGCTTCCCTTTGCTGTGCCGGACCCTGGTGCTAAGGGCTGGATGCCCCCAGGGCAGTCACTGTGCTTTTGCTGCTGTTTTCTGGCGATGTTTCCAAACCCTCTTTTTAATGCTTTCTAGGAGCCGGTGAAGCCAGAGGAGGGGAGGGACATGGCCAACAGGATCAATGCCTTTGGCTACCTCGAGTGCTCAGCCAAGACGAAGGAGGGTGTGCGGGAGGTCTTCGAGATGGCCACCCGCGCAGGCCTGCAGGTCCGGAAGAACAAGAAGCGCAGAGGCTGCCCGCTGCTGTGAGCAGCCCGGCGGGCCGGGAGGCAGCTCTACCTGCGCCGGCACCCGGCTGCCCTGCGCCGCGTGGGGAGGGAGCGCTGGCGGACGGCCGAAGCGGGACCTCGTGGTGCCAGTGCCTGCCCCGAACCCTCTGCACGAGAGCTGCCACCCAAGCCCGCGGGGTGTCCCCGCGAGACTCCGCGGCCGTGAGGGGCCAGTGCCTTCAGTACCTGCCGCTCTCTATGGGCCGGGCATTTGCGTAGCTCCCTGTGTCGCCCCATTTTGTACCCACATCCCTGGTTTTGCCTCTCCCGTGGGGATTGCTGCAGTGTTTGCTCTCCCTCCCCAGCTCTGGGCAGGTGCCGCAGGAGCGGGAGGTGCTGCTGGCTGCTACCCGCAGCTCGTGTGTGGGGTCTGCTGGGCCCTCGGCCGCGCAGGCAGCTTGCACCAGCGTTTTATACAGACTTGTCCAGGGCAGCTTTCAGCCCCGGCTGTGCGCGGAGCGGGGCTCGGCTGCTGCCCAAAGCGCTCCGCTCCTGGGACCCGTGCTGGGGTAGCGCCTCTGCCCAGCTCTGCCAGTAACGCCTTCTTTGAGTCTGCATCGGTCACGGACTTAGCACCAGTAAACTGAACTGCATAATTGGGAGAATAAATGCAAACTGGTATTTTAGTAATTGTAACTCTGCCTGTGTCGCATCCTTCTGGCTGTCCTTTGTGCCCCTGTGCTGGTCCGGGCTGCTGCCTGGGGACCAGGTCCATGTGCTGCAGGGTGAGGGGCTTGCTCAGCCCCCAGACCCTCTTGCTTCAGCCGCTGGCGTGGGATCAGGGCTCGTCACCATGTGCTTGGGTAAGACCCAGGGAGCGGTTTACGTGGGAAGGGCCAGGCAGGAGCTCCCCGGCCATACCCACTCCCTGGTGTGACGGGCTGCAGTCACTGCTGGAGCCATCCCTCCTGGAGCAGGTCGGGGCAGGGCTGCAGCAAGCCTGTCCCTCCTCTGGCAGCCTCAGCTATGGTGGCAGGGCCCAGGACTCGACATCAATACCTGTTTTTTCTCTAAATCTTTATTCCAGGGAAACAAAGCGAAGTGTGCCTGCGCAGCTGTGCTGGCTCTCAGGCCAGGCAGGTGCCTGGCGGGGACCCCAGCCTCCCCGCGCCTGGCTGGGTCCCTGCCTGCTGCCTGCACCCCAGTCACCCACCGCAGCAGCACTGAGCTCCCCCGCGCACCCAGTGATGCTCTTCAGGGGCCAGACTCTCGCTTAAGCCATTCATTGAACAGTGAGACCAGCCACAGAACTGGCTTTCCATGGCCGTGTCAAAAACTATTTAAAATGGAGAGTGGTCCCCGTGCAGCGCTGGCACGGTCCTGCTCTGCGAGGAGAGGTGCCTGCCCCGGGCTGAAGCATGTTCTGTGCTGGAGCTTTAGGCTGGCAGCAAAGGCCAGCAGGACCCCCTTCCCCGATGGGCTCAGCCCTGTCTCCGCAGGGATGCACGGCGCACTGAGCACCCCGGGACCGAGGCAGGGGGAGCGGAGGCGGCTGCTGCGGGCCAGGGGCAGGCTGAGGGGTGCTGGAGCTCCACGGGGCTTCTCCTCCTTTCCCAGGTGGGTTTCCTGCAGAGAAACCCAGTGTCAGAGCTGCCCTCTGACTCAGGAGGGGACAGGCAGCCCCTAAGCAAGAGCCCGTCGTGAGCCCCGTCACGACCCTTGCCGCAGGAGAAGCCTCCCAGTGCCCCTCGCACACACGAACCCACGCTGCGGCTCGGCCCCAGCCACGCTGCTGCCCCAGGGCGCCGGTGCAGCGTGGCCAGCCGTGCCGCTCCTGCCCGGGCTCCGCCGGCAGCTCCCAGCCCTGCTCACCCAGTTGCTAATTGCCGAGGCGCAGCGCGTGGAGGTCGGCAGCGAGGCCGTCCTCCGCGGGGCTCTCGTCCTCGTAGGGGTATCCCGTGTAGCCGCCCTCCTCCCTGCAGTACCTGAGGAACCTGCGGGCACGGAGCGAGGGGAGTGTGGGCAGGAGGTGGCACTGGCCTCGCTGCCTGCCATGGCCCGGCACTGTCCACAGGCACCAGGGAAGGGGAGGCAGATGCTCATGAGCATCGTCTGCGGAGGGGGCCAGGCGCAGCCGGGCAAGGCTCACCTCTGCCAGTGGTGGTCCTTGCTGAGCACGGCCGGGTTACCCACCACGATCAGCAGAGCCTTGGCCCTGGTGATGGCCACGTTGAGCCTCTGAAAAGAGAACGAGAGCAAGGGCTTTACCCTGAAGCAACACGTCTCGCCCTCCTCCCCAGCCCCACCTGGATGCAAGCAGCTCTGGTGTGGCACCGAGCACCCGGAGCAGCTCTGCCTGCCTGGGGGGCACCAGAGGAGAGCAGGGGGTGCCGAGGGAGAGGGGCTTGCTCAGGGCAGCACGGTACCTTGGGGTTCTTGAGGAAGCCCAGCTTGAAGGTCTGGTCGAGCTGGAGGTACTCGCTGCAGCTGCGCACGGTGGAGATGAGGATGACGCGCCGCTCCTGGCCCTGGAACTCTTCCACAGAGCCCACCTGGGGCAGGGACAGCAGGTGAGGGGCTGGGGAGCATCCCTGGGCTGGGGCTGGCAGGGCTCCCTCCACCCATGGCAGGGTGGGCTCCTCTCCGCCCCATACCCAGGACTGTACCTTCAGCAGGCTGATGTCCGGCAGCGTCCGCAGGACGGGGTCCAGAGAGGTGATGGCTTTCCGGATCTTCTCCACCTGGGGGGAGGCACACAGCACAGTCCGGCTGCCATGGAGCCATCCTCACGTGCCAGCCCCAGGGCTGCCCATCCATCCCAGTGCCCCCCATCCCCTGGGGAGGTCTCTGCTCGTCCCCTGCCTGCAGAGCCGTGCCACTCACCTGCTTTCTGTAGGGAGAGATGATGCCGACCTCTTTGGGCGAGACACTGGGGCAGCCCCCCTTGCCCCGGCTCTGCAGCAGCTTCTTGAGGTAGTGGACCAGCACCTCGATCTCAGCCGTGTTGAAGAACGAGGGGCTCTTGGCCTCTCTCCGGTCTTCCCCGCAAACCCCGTGGAAGATGATGGGGAAGCCCTGGGGGTGGAAAGCGTTGGGCTCGGCTCTGCCTGTGGCTTGGGGCTCCCCCCCCGGCCCCCTCCCTGCTGCCTCCCCTACTTTTTTGGGAAGCTCCTCCCAGGCACAATACAGACTCCGGACATCGAGCTCGTCGCTCTCGCACGCCTTCAGCTCGCTGTCGTAGAAGAGCTCATTGGGGATCTTGAGGATGGCCTCGTGGGACCTGGCAGAGGCAGGACCGTGCCCAGGGTGGGTGCCACATGGCCCCAGCACCCTCCCGGGCACTGTGCACCCAGGACAGTGGGTGCGCTCCCTTCTCCCACACCAGACGGGGCGCTATGAGGCTCTGGGGAGCCAGAGCCTGGGGTGCATGCACAGATCCTGCACCAAGCCGCACTCGGCAGAGCAGCCCTATCCCTGCCTGTGCCTGTTCCCGTGCTGGCCTCATCCTCACCTGTAGTTCCAGAGCAGTTTGGTGACAAACTGTGGGTCGTATCCTCCGCTTGACTTCTTGTACAGGGGGTTGTGCAGCATCAGCCTCTCCAGCAGCGAGATGCCTGTGCCCAGTAAGACCCCGTGGCTCCCTGCGAGGCTGCTTGGCCCCCGGGTGCCAGCAGCACTCCCACCCCTCTCCCCGCTCACCCAAGCCATGCTTGATGGCCAGCGGCGACCTCAGGACGGGGCCCAGCTGCTGGGGGTCTCCTGCCAGCACCAGCTGTCCCCCGTTGGGGTTGGTCTCCTGGTCCATGGCAGTAAGGAGTCCTGGGCAGAAGGAGAGCTCAGTGTGGGATGGAGGGGTCCCCAGGCCACACAGAGATGCTGGTCCCCAAGACGGCAGCCGCGCACCACTCACCCGCGATGGCGACCATGCTCTCCGGCTCTACCGCCTGGCCACACTCGTCGATGAAGACGTGGGAGAAAAACCCTGGGGTGAAGTTGGCTGACACCAGCCTGGGGGAGAGGTGGAGTGGGGCTGCCTCGTCATCCCTGCTCTGGCTGGCCATCCTTCCTCCCCTCACCTTCATCCTCGTCCTCCTGCAGAGGATGGGTCCCCCCCGCTGCCCGCCCTCCTCCACACCCCCTCCCTGCTGCACCCCAGCAGGGAGCCCTCACAGCCTGGTTGCAAGGCAGCCCCGGGGTCTACCCGCCGTGGGTGGTGGGGACAATCCCAGGTCCTCTGACCTTCCCGCTGTCACCAGCGTGGTGATGAGGATCCGGTAGCGCCCCAGGTGCTCCTTGCTCAGGTACACGTAGCAGCTCTGGTCATCGTCCCAGTTGCAGCAGGGCTGAAATGCAGGCATTTGGTGGGATCCTGCTCTCCTCAGGGGCTGCCAGCCCAGACGTGCCGCAGGGTGCCGGGACGGAGGGGCGGGGACCTACCCTGATATCAGCAGGCACCTCCTGGTAGCTTCTGGAGCTGGCGATAAGCCTGTAGACGTAGCGGGGGGGGATGTCCTTGATGAGGCGCTGGCACAGCAGGTCTGCAGCGCTGTTGGAAGGAGCGCAAGCCAAGATCCGGGCGTCCTTGAAGCACGTCCATACCTACGTGGGAGGAGGGGGGTGATGGCACTGAGCCCCCGTTGGCCAGGGTGGGCAGCGGTGCCCAGGGCTGGACCTGGGCATGGGCCGCTCACCTGCTTGATGGCCTCCACCAGGGTGACCGTCTTGCCAGTCCCGGGGGGACCGAAGATGAGGTATGGGGCTGGCCTGGACATCCCCGTCACGATGTGTGTCACAGCTCTGCACTGCTCCTCGTTCGCCTGCAGCTTGCGGTCAAACCATCTGCGGGAGCAGAGGCTGAGTGTGCCAGGTCCCCATCCTTCTCCTCCCGTCCCGCAGGCAGGGGGACTCACCGGGGCTGGAAGGTGCCTGTGAAGAGGGACTTGTGGCAGGAGGCAGAGGGGAAGAGGAGGCTGGACAAGCCGCGCTGCATGGCCAGGGTTGCAGCCCGGTGCTGGACCTGCAGCGGCAGCCGGCTGAAGGTGAAGGTCACGTCG